TTAATTTTTTGTACAATACGTTTTAAATAATCATACTATTAATAGGGATTTCCTATTCTATGGTAGTTATAGTTGTACATACACATCACAAACTTTTCAAATATTCGAGTTTCCTTTTTCACACGCATTCATTATTGTCGTCAATCTTTACAGAATTTTTTCTGCTTGATCAAAAATCAATATCGGCCACAAGGAAATTCCTTTTAGCGATTTTTGACGAAATATTGAATCGTGTTAAAAACCGTAACACTCTTTTTTTCATATTTATATTCCATTTTAGCTACAAAAATTAAGAATTGGATTGAAGAAAAAATCAATTTTTCAGATGTTGATAAATTGGAAGATGTTGAAGCGAGAAACTGAATCGCTGATCAACATTTTTGACTCATATCTGAATTATAGATACTAAATATTGTTTGCATAGGTAGAAATATGGGTTAAAACTGAACGAGGATTAATTTCAATTAGATATCGTTCTTAGATATTATTTTCGAGAATATTATTCAATATATTATTCTCAATTATGAATTTTGAGTGAAAGAAAAAATGATTATATAATAATAACAAAAAAAGATTGATTATTCATCTCGTAATATATATGCTAAACATTTCATATTCGTAATGATTCGTGATGAAATCCAGAGTAACAATTCAACATATAATTTCATCGCTCTGATTGGAATGAACGAAAGTTGGCCTGTTAGAATAATAACGGATTAAAGAGCTCGTTATCCATCGAAATCGACTGGCAGCCATGGCTCTGTTTAAATGGCGGATTTACATAAACTTGTTAATATACATTTTAAGCTCCTATTGCAAAGAAATCAAGATTTGAATGTTGTTGTTACGCATCGTATACGTGTTATTAAATGAGATCGTTTTTTTTTCCCTTTTTTTTTTTCTTTTTTGTTGTTCGTTTAATCACTTGATGTCGCATTTTGCACCATTAGCGTGATGTCGACTGGCTTTTTATGTAACGATGCATGAGTGTAACGCGTATGAATAATCAATGCGCCGTTTATGGATAATAAATCGAGTTAAATTATGATGGTAATATGATATAGTATAGTTTGTGGACAAGAAAATATAGCATATAACGTATGCTATTATTAAATCTTCTTTTATGTATATATTTGAAATTTTTTGAAATATAATTTGTAAGTTAATCAT